ATGTCAGCCTTCTGGTCAACACCAGGAATGTGGCAGACAGTGAGAGACTTATTAATCACCTTTTCTCTTACAAAAAAGAGGTCAATTTCCATATGCTTTGTTCTTGCATGAAGAACAGGGTTATGAGCCATAGCAACTGTGCTCTGGTTGTCACAATAGATGGTTGGAGTTGTCAAGGGAATTTTTAGTTCAGCTAGCAAAGTTTGAACCCATAAAACTTCAGCTGTGGTGTGAGCCAAGCTGCGATACTCTGCCTCAGCACTAGAACGAGCAACAACAGTTTGCTTTTTGGACCACCAAGAGATCAAATTAGGGCCTAAGTACACAGCTGACCCAGAGGTGGATCTTCTATCATCTGGGTCAGCAGCCCAGTCAGCATCACAATAGGCTTGCAGAGAGAACGGAACAGTGGAGGCTGGAGTGAACAATAAACCACAGGTGATAGTTCCTTTTAGGTAGCGCAGAATACGCTTGACAGCTAGCCAATGGGACTCCAAGGGGTGTGCCATGAATTGACATACTTTGTTAACAGCATAGCAGATTTCTGGCCGTGTAATTGTTGCATACTGCAGGGCCCCTACAATGGACCGGTAGTGGGAGGCATCAGACAAGGCAGCAGACCCTGTTTTGATGAGTTTGGTGGAGGAAGCCATAGGAGTAGCAACTGGATTGGAATTCTCCATATCAGTTTTGATTAGCAAGTCCCTTAGGTACTTAGATTGAGTGAGAAGGAGATTTCCATTGGACAATTTCTTCACCTCAAGGCCCAAAAAATAATCCAAGTCACCAAGTTGTTTGAGAGCAAACACATGATTTAATTGTTGAGTAACTTGCTTGATGAGAGGAGGGGAGTTTCCTGTGATGATTATATCATCAACATAAACCAGCATATAAAGGACAGCATTGTGATGCTTGTAGATGAAAAGTGAAGTATCACACTTGCTGTTTAGAAAGCCAAAGGATAAAAGAGTGGTTTTGAGTCTTTCAAACCATTGCCTCGGGGCTTGTTTTAGGCCATACAAGGCCTTGTGCAAGTGACAAACCAGAGATGAATTAGGGGCAGTAAATCCAGGGGGTTGCATCATATAGACCTCCTCTTCAAGAATGCCATTCAAAAAGGCATTGTTTATGTCCAACTGCTGCAAAGGCCAATTGTAAGTTAGAGCAAGAGTCAAAATAATTCTAATTGTGACCGGTTTAATAACAGGGGAGAAAGTTTCATTAAAGTCAAATCCATGGACTTGATGGAACCCCTTAGCAACAAGCCTAGCTTTGTACTTATTTACTGTCCCATCAGCATTTTCCTTTACACGAAAAACCCACTTGCAGCCTATTGCTTTCCTGTTAGCAGGCAGTGGTACCAAAGACCAAGTGTTGTTCCTTATCAAGGCACCATACTCCTCTTGCATAGCAGCAAACCACTTAGGATCTTGGAGAGCAGTTTTAACACTCTTAGGCTCAGAATTGACAAGAAAAATGGAAGGATTTAGACGAGGTAAGGGTACACCAGATTTAGTTCTAGTAGTCATAGGATGAGTATTGGTGGGGAGAGGCTGAAGGTTAGGATCCCTAGGAGCATAAATAGAGGAGGAGGATAGTGAAGTGGTAGTAGTAGGCTGATTGTTGGCATTTGAAGAGGGTGAAGGAGTAGGATTAGTGCTGGCTGTTTGTGTTATAGGGGTTGCTGACCCAGAGGCAGTAGGTGTGGGGCTGGAATTGGATTGGGAAGAAGAAGAGGAGTGTGAGACAATAGGTGTGGGGCTGGAATTGGATTGAGAAGAAGAAGAGGAGTGTGAGACAATAGGTGTGGGGCTGGAATTGGATTGAGAAGAAGAAGAGGAGTGTGAGGTAGTGGAAGCAGTAGGAACGGGAAAAACATGAGGGAGAGCTTGTGTGTTAAGGGTTACTTTAGATGAGGAGGAGGATGGAATGGTTGATGAGGGGAGAGAAACATTAGAGGAAAAAAGATCATTGTAAGGAAATTTGGACTCGTTGAAAAGAACATCTTTAGAGATGAATATTCTACCACTTGGAGAGAGACATTTGTAACCTTTGTGAGCTGTAGAGTACCCTAGAAAAAGGCACTCGTGGGATCTAAAGTCAAATTTTTGAGAGTTGTATGGGCGAAGGAGAGGAAAACAAGCACACCCAAAGACTTTAAGGAATTTATAGTCAGGATTTTGATTGAAAAGGACAGCATATGGTATATGTTGATTGAGAGACATGGTTGGTAACCTATTTATTAGGTAGACAGCGGTTAAAAAGGCATGGTCCCAAAATTTGAGAGGTAAAGAGCCATGACTCAAGAGGGTTAAACCAAGATCAACAACGTGTCTATGCTTCCTCTCCACTGCACCATTTTGGTGATGAGTGTGAGGGCAAACTAGGCGATGAATAATGCCAAGATCAGAAAGAAACTTTGTGAATGGGCGAAATTCACCACCCCAATCAGTTTGGACAGATTTAATAGGAAATCCAAATTGTAATTCAGCCATGACTTTGAATTGTTTAAAGATAGTTAAGGCTTCAGATTTATTTTTGAGCAAATAGATCCAAGTAAATCTGGTGTATGCATCAACAAAGGTGATGTAGTAGGTAAAGTTTTGGGAGGATTTGACTGGGGCAGGACCCCATAGGTCACTGAAAATTAATTCAAGAGGAGAGTGATATTGAGTTTGTGACTGAGGGGAGTGCAGCCTATGTGCCTTTCCCATACAGCAGGCAGAACAAAAGATAGATTCAGCTTTATTAGAATAAGGAATATTACATTGAGCTAAAACAAGTCTCATAGTATTAGAATTTGGATGACCAAGGCGTAAATGCCAAGTATGTTGAGAATTATATGAGTTATTAGCTGATACATTTTGATTAGAAACTGAAACCCTATCACTAATGCTGGAATCAGATCTTGAAACATGAGCATTAGAGTCTAAGGTGAGACATGAGACTTGACTTGTTGAAGGAGACTTAAGAAGCTGAAGATGGGAAAATTGGTACAGGCCATCACTTCCTACACGACCTTGGAGCAGAATTTCATTGGTAGCCTGAGATTTGATATAGCACATATCAGCATGAAACTCAAAGAAAACTCTATTATCAAGACAGAATTTGCTGACACTTATCAGGTTCTTTGTAATAGAAGGAACAAGCAGTAAATTATGAAGAGCTAATGGAGTGTTAGGTTTAGAATGAGAAGGAAAATAAGAAGAGCCTGAAGAGTGAATGTGCAAACCTTGACCGTTACCAATGAAGATCTGATCAGGACCTTCAAAAGGTGTGGTTTGCTGTATGTTTTGAGAGGCATTGGTAACATGATAAGAAGCTCCTGAGTCTGGGAACCAGGCACTGCTTGGAACTGAAGTTGTGTTAGCAATCATAGCATTGGGAGTGATATGTGACTGAGGAACAGGGAGAGGGGCAAGTCTTGGTTGATAGCTTGGGCGTGACCGAGTGTTAACCATGGGCTGAGCAAACTGAGGTCCACCAATTGGTTGATACGGATAGAAATTTTGTAGGTTCATTGTTTGAAAATCAGCAGGTATGTTAGGTTGAAATTGTTGATTGAACCTATGATAGCAGTTAGCAGCAAGATGACCATATTTGAAGCAAACTTGACATTGAATGTTGCTGAACCTACCTCTCCCACGGCCGCGTCCACCACCACGGCCAGCTGCACGGCCTCCTCTTGAATAGGTTGGATTAAAGGTTGAATTCACAGCTTGTTCATTGTTCTTGTTATTCGAGTTATCAGTTTCAGGTTGAGAATTGGCTTGAGTGAGATTCACTGAGGCAGCCACCTCCATTTGTGAGTGTTTCTTATACTTGTTGTATCTCATCTCATGAGCAAGAAGAAGAGCTTCAACTTCTTCAAGTTCTACTGAATCAAACTTGCTTTCAATAACTGAAATAACAGAGGCAAAGTCTTGAGGAAGACCTTCAAGAATCACATCAATGTGTTGCTGATCTGGAACTGGATCTCCTACTGAAGCAAGCGCGTCAACAAGAGCTTTGATGCGAACCAGATAATCACCAACAGATTTGTCTTCAAGTGTTGTAGATCTGAGTTCCGCTCGTAGTTGTCTTGCTTTCGCACGTGTAAGCTTTTGAAAATGCGCAAGAATACGTTCCCAGAGCTCGTAGGAATGAACGCATCCAAGAACACGTGAAAGAATTGAAGGTGAAAGCGTGGATTGAAGCCACGTCATAAGCCACTGATCTTGCGTAATCCAGGTGCGATACGCAGGGTTCTCACGAGCAGCGGCACGATCTTCATCAGTCAGGTATTGATTCGGTATGTCACGAAGGTAAAGGTAGTTTTGAAGATTGTTCGCGTTAACGAAAGGATCTACTTGTTGGCGCCAAAGTAGGAAATTCTTCTCATCAAGTTTTTCTGTGATTTTGAGTTGGAAGGACATAGATGTTGGGGTGGCCGGAGCTGTAGTTACTGGAATCGCTGCCATGGATAGAACCGAAGCTCTATGATACCATATTAGAGTGAGATATGAGAGAGAAGAGAGAAAAAGCTAAAAGAGAAAAGAGAGAAACAGATTCTGTTATTGCTTAATTGGAAAGGAGCATTATGCTCTATTTATACAAGAGGAGATGAACATTCAAGAGTTGAATCATTCAAGCTCTACAATTAAGGAAGACTTTTCTTATTCTATTAAATTAAGGCTGGACTTAATTATTCTATAGTGCTGATTATTCATATTCTAAGATATAACTCTAATAAAATCTGACCTTGAATACTGCCCATAGTCCACCATTAATTTTGCTTTCTGCTGCTCTTACACCACTTAGGATTAGAATGAGGAGTGCCAAAATACACCAGCTCATTTATAACAAGAGGCATTTTCTAGACAAACAGAAGAAGTTGCTGGTCCTGACTTCCCTGCAATAGTTTTGTTTTAACTTAATTTCTTAGTTCTTACTGTTTAAGTTTTAACATTTTAAGTCATGCGAGAGAAATTTACTGTACTATTTTCATTTTGTCTTGTTAGAGTGCAGAGAGATGGAGGAGCCTTGATATGCATGCTGGCATTCACAACTTTGAGTTACACACTTTTCGCGCTGCTTTTCAAATGGTACTGAATTATAACTTAGTTTTGTTGCACGCTAATTTTAACTTCCTTTATGTCTACGGTCATAATCTTGCTCTTAATATAAAAAATATAGCTAGCTATTTCACCTTGTTTTTCTTACTGAACATTAGTGGTCAAAAGTACTCAAGTTTAGAATAATGTTCTTGTGTGAAGATCTTCCTAAAATGCCCTTTATATATTAAGGTGTCTGTTGAATAATGAGAGAACAAGAGGAAGGTTGGATTGAATCCGTGTGTGTGAATTACACATCGGAGTTCATTATATATAATAAGAGGCATAAATGCCATAGTAATTACATAATATTCTATAATAATTACATAATATTCTATTTCCTATTTACATGATATCCTAATTACTTACAGAATATTTTATTTACATAATATGGAATATTTCGATATCTAACACTCCCCCTCAAGCTGGAGCATATATGTCATATGCACCAAGCTTGTTACAATTAGTGAAAACATCAGCTAACTGATCATTTGAATTGACAAAATTAGTGCTGACATCTCTAGATAAAATCTCCTCTCTGATGAAATGACAATCAATCTCAATGTGTTTGGTTCTCTCATGGAACACTGGATTTGATGCAATATGCAGAGCTTCCTGATTGTGACAAATAAGTGTCATCTGTGAAACATCTCCGAATCTCAGGTCGTGAAGCAATTGTTTAAGCCATATAAGCTCACAGGTTGTTGTTGCCATGGCTCGATATTCTGCTTCCGCACTTGACCTTGCCACTACACTTTGTTTCTTACTCTTCCAGGAAATTAAGTTACCACCCAAGAAAACACAATAACCTGAGGTGGATCTCCTATCAGAAGGAGAACCTGCCCAATCTGCATCTGAGTATCCTACAACTCGAGTGTGTCCCTTGTCTTCATAGAGTAAGCCTTTTCCTGGAGCTCCTTTAATATATTTCAAGATGCGAATCACAGCTTCCCAATGCCCTTCACAAGGAGAGTTAAGAAATTGACTTACCACACTAACAAGAAATGAAATATCTGGGCGAGTAACAGTGAGGTAATTCAGTTTTCCAACTAATCTTTTATATTTTTCAGGATCAGAGAGTGCCTCCCCCTGAGCTGGCATAAGTTTAGCATTGGGATCCATCGGATTGTTAACTGGCTTGGAATTTAACAGTCATGTCTCCTCCAAAATATCCATAGCATACTTCCTTTGTGAAATCATAATTCCCCGTTTGGATTGGGCAATCTGTATGCCCAAGAAATAACGAAGTCTGCCGAGGTCTTTTGTCTGGAAATGATGACAAAGGTGTTGTTTTACCTGTGTGATTCCATGATGATCATTACCTATAATGACAATGTCGTCCACATACAAAGTTAAGTAAATACACCCAACAACTGAGTGACGATAAAACACTGAATGATCAGCTTCACATCGCGTCATACCAAACTCTTGAATAACAGTGTTAAATCTCTCAAACCAAGCCCTAGGATTTTGCATAAGTCCATACAAAGACTTATGAAGACGACAAACTAGTCCTGAAGACTCCCCCTGAGCAACAAACCCAGGAGGTTGCTCCATATAAACTTCCTCACACAAATCACCATGGAGGAATGCGTTCTTGATGTCAAGCTGGTAAAGGGGTCAGTGGCGAATAGCTGCCATAGAGAGAAATAATCGAACCGAGGTCATTTTAGCCATGGGAGAGAAGGTGTCACCATAATCTAGGCCAAACAGCTGTGTATAACCTTTGGCCACTAAACGTGCCTTGAGACGATCAACTTGTCCATCAGGCCCAACTTTGATTGTGAAAACCCACCTGTAACCTACAACAGATTTTCCAAGAGGAAGAGGAACAAGGTCCCACGTGCCACTGATCTGAAGAGCGCACATCCATCAAGCATAGCTTGTTTCCAGCCAGGGTGAGATAAAGCATCACCTACAGTCTTGGGAATAGACACAGAAGACAAAGAGGAAATACAAGCATAATGCAAAGAAGACAAGCGATGATAAGACAAATTAACATAATGAGGAGATGGATTACGAGTGGAACGTATACCTTTGCGAAGTGCAATTGGGAGATCAGTCTCAGAGGGCAGGATCGGAGGGGACGAAGGAGTTGGATCCGGAGGGGAGTCTATGGTGATTTCTCCATTAGTTTATGGTAGTGGAGGTGGCCGTGGTCGACGCCGATAAACCTGCAAAAGAGCTAATGGGGGTGGATTGGCCGGCAAAGGAGACAGAACTACATTTGGTGGGGCAGTAGTGGGAGATGAAGAAAACATGGGTGATAGGGACTCAGACCCTGTAGATGTCCCAAAGTAAGGGACTGACTCAAAGAATGTGACATCAGCAGAGACGAAATATCGACGAAGAGACGAGGAGTGACATTTATATCCCTTTTGGGATCTTGTATAGCCTAAGAACACACACTTATGAGAACGAGCTGAGAGTTTGTCTAGCCCCAGGACTAACATTATGGACAAAACATGTAGACCCAAAAACTCTAGGCTGTAATGGGTGAAGAGACTGGTGAGGAAATAGAATAGAGTGGGGGATCTGATTGTTGAGGACAGATGATGGCATCCTATTTATGAGATAACAAGCCGTAAGGATAGCATCACCCCAAAAATGTTGAGGAATATTATTGTGAAGTAAGAGTGTCCTAGTGGTTTCAACTAGGTGTCTATTTTTACGTTCAGCGACTCTGTTTTGTTGTGGTGTGTGAGCACAAGACGTTTGATGAAGCATACCGTTAGTAGCCATGAAAGTTTGAAATTGAGTAGATAAATATTCTCGAGCATTGTCACTGTGCAAAGTACTAATGGATATACCAAACTGATTTTTGATTTCATTATAAAATGTTTGAAAAATAGCAAATAACTCCGATCGATTTTCCATTAAAAATAACCAGGTACATCGAGAATAATCATCAATGAAGGTAACAAAATACTTAGACCCTAAAGTGGATACAATGCGACTAGGACCCCAAACATCCGAATGAACTAGAGCAAACGGAGACTTAGAACGACGATTGACACGACTCAGAAGAACTACGAACATGTTTTCCTAATTGACAAGACTCACAAGACAACGTAGATAACTTGGAAAGGTTGGGCACCAACTTTTGTAACTTTGCAAGACTTGGATGTCCTAACTGAGCATGAACCAGGAGGGGAGAATCCACCACGGAACCAACATGTGCAGATGGTTGAAGAAGAGAAAGACCATTAGACTCACATCTGGTCCCAATCATCCGTCTCGAACTCCGGTCCTGCAAGAAAAAAAAATCTTTGGTGAATGAGATAGTACAATCAAGAGATCAAGTCAAACGACTTAGAGACAATAAGTTAACGGAGATCCGGGTACATAAAGAACATTAGTAATGGAGAGCGAGGGAAAAAGGTGGATAGTACCAGTACCCTGAGATTGAGTTTGGGAGCCATTTGCTAATGTGACAAAGCGTAATAAACCAAAGTAGAGAATGAAGAAAAAAGAGATTTATTATCAGTAATGTGATCAGTGGCGCCTGAATCAAGGATCCATGGGCCAAGAGATGTGGAGTGAGAAAGACCAGCAAAAAAATTACCCGTGTGCGCAACAGAGGCAGTGGAACTAGCGGCCTGACGCTCCTCATACCACTTGATAAAGTCATTGAAGATAGCAGGTGAGGTGGCAAAATCAGTCGGAGTAGCAGCCTGTGGAGGTGGAGCGGTCTGGGCAACGTGGGCAGTCCGAGGAGAGGGACGTCCATGTAAAGCATAACATCGATCAATAGTGTGGCCAAGCTTATGACAATGATCACACTTAGGACGAGGCTTTCCTGTCTTCCGAAAGTGGCCACGATCACTACCCGGAGCATGATTACCTCCTTGAGAAACCAAAGCAGATGAATTAACTGGTGTGGGTGGGACTCCGCCGTCAGATGATGGTTTTGCTGGGACACGCAGCAAAGTAGACCATGCAGTATCCAGAGTGGGGATTGTAGGAGACCCCAATATCTGATCGCGAACAGACGAATACTCTGGAGGTAGGCCATACAGAGCTAGAAGCATGAAGAAGGATCGACGTTGTTCAAGTTCCTTAGCAGTGGTAGCAGCTGGGGGCAATAATTCATTGAAATCATGAAGAAGACCTTGAACACGGCCCAAGTATTCAGCCATAGAACCATCCAGGTGACGAAGGAAAATAATATTCTGCAAATTTTGACACACTCCATATAAGCGTTGTGTATCATTGGTATAAAGGATCTTAGCCTGTGCCCAAACAGATTCGCAAGTCTCATGAGAACGAAAGATCTGTTTCAAGGATGGACTAATGGTCGACTTAATGAGACTGCAGAGTTGAGCATCAATTTTCTTCCAACGAGCACTATAAGTGGCAGCCACCGAGTCAGCCTTTGTAGTGAGGTGATCTTCATAGGCCTGTCCCCGGAGCCATAACTTGACGTCGGAAGCCCAAGAATCATAGTTAGTACCATCCAATTTGTCAACGGCAAGAGGAGTAGTGATATAACTTGTGAAAATAGGGGCCTCAGTCCTTGGAGGGGGAACGGCGGCCATGGATTCCAAAAACGGTGAGAGAAGTGACCAAAAAATGGAAGATCTGAGAAGGAATATCGGAAACCGGAGAGGAAGCACGGTTACCGGAAAAAAAATTGGCGCCGATAGATAGTGGATCTACCGGGAAAGCACATATTAGGATTGCCTCTTGTTAGGCTCTAGATATCATGTTGAATAATGAGAGAACAAGAGGAAGTTGGATTGAATCCGTGTGTGTGAATTACACATCGGAGCTCATTATATATAATAGGAGGCATAAATGCCATAGTAATTACATAATATTCTATAATAATTACATAATATTCTATTTCCTATTTACATGATATCCTAATTACTTACAGAATATTCTATTTACATAATATAGAATATTCCGATATCTAACAACTTTTACTTTCACCTTTTAAGATAAATTAGTAGTATTAATAAGGGGTATGTTTGTAAAATAAATAAATGCACCAAGTAATTTGTATAGGAGCTTATATTTAGAGACAACTTTTTTCAAAAAGGACTTATAATTAAGAATGGATGGTAGTAGTAAACCACTTGTGGATGGTAGTTCTCTGTATACTAATGTATTTAATGCAAAATTGGTCCCCGCAATTGTCCTTTAGAGAATGTAGAATATCCAGACATGAATGTTAGAGTTGGAGAAGTTGGTTGGCCAAGATATTATGAACAAAGAATACAGGGGTGGGACAATTACTTATTTTTTTAATTTTTCTGTGCTTCATCTTTCTTTCTTTTGCTTGTAGGAGTCTTGTTCTCCTTCCTTTTTATATTTTCCTTTACTTATGCTCTTCTTGTTCAGAAAGAATATAAGAATCTTTTCCCCACTTTTCTATTTATTAAATGTATATCGAAATTTTAATTTGGATAGACAATGTTATTCTAGTTAGTATGCAATGGAATTTTATATTATAATTTAGTTTTTAAGTTTTTTTATTGAATAATATAAAGACAAACATGCAAAAATTTACCGGTAAGGGCTCATCCATCTTCATTGTACTTGTTGTATACTTGTATTTGTTTTATTTTATTTAGGAATTGGGCTATCTTCAGAAAGATTATGAATTTTTTTCTCTGCTCTCAATTTATCTATGCACATTTTTTGCTCCTGAAGGTTCTTTCGAAATATTATCCGAAAGTTGTGATGAGTACTCCTTCAATTGGGCGTAAAGGAAAGGCTCTGCGTAGGCAAAACCAAAGGAGATATACAGGGTTGGAGCTGCATCTCAAAGGAAGTGCTTGTCATATGAGACAAAGTTTCCCTGCTGAATCCAAAACTGGTATTGGAAATCTCTTTTTCTGTTTCACTTCTTCCCAACACCTAAAAATGACGAAACAAACAAACAGTAGCTCTTAAAACTATGGGATAATCTTTGTCAATGTGTTACAGAAGGGACTTTTGGCTCTGCATCAGAAAATCAAACCCTACCTGGTGAAATTTCTTCCAATGAAAGTGCTGGATGTGAAGGGACAAAAATTGATAACAGTTTCGAGAATTTTGAGAAATTTTGCCAGTCTGGATTGTCTCATCTTGGAATCAAACGTTCAAATGATGTAAACCTGCAAAGCATATGGAAGGAAGCAGAACCATTTGCTGTACGTCAATTTCTTCTATTATTTTGAATTATTATTATCCCGGTAGTGCTCATGAGTCCTATTTCTACTGTCTAGGACTTTATTTTATCTTAAATCGTTTTTCTTGTTGCTTATTTATGGTTTCTATGGTTTCTTTTGTACTTATCAATTGTACAGGACCTTGTAGGACCATATTGGTCTCTCAGAGCTGCTTTAGGGCCTCTTTTGGAAACTCTTATTCTGCTTGATAGGTTATTGTTTCTTCAAGAGCAAGGCAGTGTATTGGAAGCCTACCTGTTACCAATATTTGACCCAAATATATCTCCCAGAAATGTGGCTATAATTGCAAAGAAGATTGACAAAGATTTAAGATCCTCCTGATGCTTAAAGGTAACTAATATGTCAGCATTCACGTAAATATATCTATGTGTGTCATCAAATCTCGCAAACAATGTAAATTACCAAGATTCTCAATATTCTCTTAGGTGAAGAAGGTCAATTCACGTGCAACAAGGTCCCAATGCTGCTGCCATGATTCAATACCTCACTCTCACTCAGTTGATTCTCAAGATCATTTCGGGTGAAGGTCAGATTCATAGGGACAGGAAAGTCACCATAATAGTGCTGTCATCATTCAATCCCACTACTTTCCTCTCTTGTTGTAAAAAAGGCACTACTCAATTCAGGTTCCAGTTAGGGTATCGCATGATAAGAAAATTCTGTAATATTTATATTATGCATTTATTTATGCTATATAACACATTACTTTACTAGACCTTTTAATTCTACGGAAAATCTGGGAAAATGCGAAGATACCTTTAAAACCAACAGGAAAGAAAATATTGAAAATAGAAAATTAAAATCACCCGCTTGCTTACAAGTGAATCAAAAGGAACAAACATAGTTCTCATACATATCAGGACTGTGATTTGCATTTGAGCTGGATGATTATTGATTTTTATGTGGAGGAACTTATGTGTTTGGATGTGGAGTGGCTAGAACATGAGGAAAGATGCAGTAACATATTATGAACATATGCTCAAAAGTGTATATTTTGTGTTTGACTTGAAAGTCCCTTTTTCGGCTGAATGCACATTCACCAGAGCCTCTTAAGACTAATTGTTGGTGCGTATATGGATGACTATTGTAAACACGGATAATAACATAACAGAAATCTTGAGTCACTGGACAAGAATATTATTGCATTATAAATTGCTCCAGTCTAACTTAGTCCAGTTGAGCGGCTCCTTTGAAATATGCTATATACTCCTCCCCACCCTTTCTCTAATCTTCAACCACCATCCTCTCTTTTCTCTCCGACCAATCCAAATCACTCTCCTTTATTGTAGTTTTAGTGATGGTGATGCGTCAAGCCCTCATGGTTAACGACACCCGTGTTTAACGTTTTTGCCGTTCTCACATTGGTTGTTTCTTTTTAAAGACATTCGGATCTTAACACATTCGGGCCTCTGATGAAAAATAAAAAATTCCCTTTATATTTGCATATATATATCTGAACGCACTACTTCTTAATTTTGATTAAAGATTAATTTGGAGATGCATCTGTAAAGGGGTTTTAGGATATGTTCGCAGATACATCTCTGAATTAAATTTTTTTTATAAAAAAAATTCAGGAACTGATTCGAAGATGCATATTCGAATGAGATAAATGTATTTAAATCTGGCGTCGGACTCCCTCCCTCTTCTCCTTCTTCATTTGCAGAGACATTTTTTTCTTCTAGAAATTCCCTTTTTTCTTCCTATTCCACACTTTGTTCCAGTCAACTTTGTTCAAGTCAAGCTTGTTCCTTCCCCAATATTGTTCAAGTTCACTTTATTCTTTCATCAACACTTTTTAGAGTAAGTTACTCATTTAGCTTATTTTTAATTTTGATTAATGTATTAGGTCAAATGAGTTAGCTTTAATGCATTATGTTGTATTAGCATTTGAAATACGTAATGCGTAGGAGTTTTTTTATATGATTTGGATAATTGGGATGATTTTTGGGTGGTTAGGGCAAGTGTAAGAGTGTTGCTGCCATTGAAGCATAACACGAAGCTTTTTAGAGATGCATCTCTAAAATAAGTGTGAGGACAAAGTTCCTTCAATAAGGTTTCAATGATGTCAAAACTTTCCACTATATGTTGGAAATGTGGCTAGATGATATGGTGGATAAGGAAGCATGAAAAGTCTTCAAAATTTGGTATTTTTGGAAATCTCTATACTTTGAGTCGACTCAAAGAAAGCTTCGGTCGACGCATGATTGAAAGTTTTTCCTTGGGGAAGTCTCGGGTTTGCTCACGTCGATTGTGTGGCCGACTCAACCTGGGAGTAATTTTTAGGAACTATGCGTCGATGCATAGCCCTAGAATGGTCGACGCATGGATTGAAAGTTGCGCCTTGGGGAAGTCTTGGGTTTGCTCACGTCGATTGTGTGGTCGACTCAACCTGGAGGTAATTTCTAAGAACTATGCATCGACGCACAACCCTGGAGCGGTCGATGCATGGATTGCACACTTTGTCTTTTGGCACTCTCGGGAATGCTCAGGTCGAGTCTCCCTTTTGGCATAGGTCAACCGTTCACTCGTTAAATCTATTTTTTAGCTTGACAGTTTGGTTTTTGACTTGAGATAACATATATAATCTTGTAAGGTTCTATCATTTGGTTTTCAACAAGAAAAGTGAAATAGATAACAAGGTACTCATCATCTTCAACCTCTCACTCATCCATTGACAACTACACATGATAATTTTTATCGATCAAGGTGCGAAGCGTGTGTTGGTAATGTCTGAAGTAGCAGATTGCGATCTTGTTTGGGTTGAGTAATTATGATTTTTTCTTGAATAAAATCTGAGGGTTTTGTCCTCCAAGATCATTGGGATTTGGTTTTTTTTTGACAATTCTTTGCTTCAAATTCAGCCGTAGTTAAGGGATTGAGGAACCATGGGTTCGCTCGATAAGGTAGCTACAATCAGAGAATTGTGAAGGAAGAATTAGGGTCACCATCTTGCGATCAAATCAGTCGAGCAGAGGGTTTGAGAAACGGTTTGGGTTCTCAACAAGGTAGCTACAATCAGAGGTTTATTGAAGATTGGTGACATACTTGGTTCTAATCGAATCAAGGGAAGAGAGGAGCTTAGTTTTCAATTCAACATATTGGGTTTGAATTGTGGTGACTATTTTCTATCTCTCGTACAAACTTTACAATCATAATAACAATTATCCTAATTCTACATTCTAGAATTAGGGGCAGAGTACCCCACGCGAGGACGACGGGGAGAACTGCCTAAACAAATCGCGTGTTATTATTCTTTCTCGTTTTTTACCGTTTATTTGCTATAATTTGTGAATTTGCACTTGTGGTTCCAATTGTCTGGATTTGTAGTGTGATGGAAATATTGCTAAGGGCTATAGTAATCACTTTGATTGCTATAATTGGCTTTAACACCACAAATTAAGATAGATTGAACTTGGTGTGATTACGCACATCAAGTGTTCGATAAAAGTTCAAAAGTGCAAATTTGTGGATTTTCTTCTCAACAATTCATTGGGAGTAATTGATTACAATTAAAAAGTATAAGTGATATATTATATTTGAATTAAGTGTTAATAATTCTCATTGATTCATTCCATTCAGTTTTACGCATATCCGGTCTTTTCAATAGATGATCGTTTTTAGACGAGTGTATCCGGGTAGCTTTCATTGCGTTTTAAGATTTCATTATTTTTTTTATTTAAAATCACGGTATCTATTCAACCCCCCCCCCCCCCCCCCCTTCTAGATATGTCCTATCGTCTAACAAGTGGTATCAGAGCACCGATTTATCTAGTGCTTCACATATAACTCTTTAGACAATGGACAACGATCCAAAAGGGGCGTACAATAGAGCGCCTATTTTCATCTGTGAAAACTATAACTATTGGAAAGATTGTATGCGTGTGCATATCAATTCTGTTGATAGAAAAATTTAGAAAGTCATAGAAGAAGGTCCTATGGCCATAACTATGTTAACCAATGCGGGTGCCGTTGTGCCTAAATCAGAAGCACAATGGGATGAAAAAGATGAGAAAAACTATGCTTATGATTGGAAAGCTAAAAATATGCTCATATCAGCTCTTGGAGTTGATGAATACTTTTGTACCTCACATTGTGCTACCGCTAAGGAAATATGGTATGCTTTACAAGTTACCCATGAGAGTGTTTATCCTGGAATTTGGTAAACAACCGCTGATCTTCTAAATCCCTTAACAAATTCAGTTACTCGCGAGATCGATCAGATTGATCTCAGGACTATTGTGTTCTAGTATTTAGAAAAATTGTTTTTCCGTGATAATCTCTTTTAAATGAAAGGAAGCATTTCATATGCCGAAGTAAAACTTCTTTATGAAAGTAATAAAGCAGAAACTAGTTTAAACTGGAAATTATAAAGAACATAAATAACATGAAGAAACTTCATTGCATGTAAATGACATTGAATTGTAAAATATGATGCATCATACGCACATTCTCGCTAACTCGTTTCTGTAACACTGGTACTTTAAGTATATTTGAGTATTTTGTACAAAGATGTGAACACACTAAATTGAAACACAAAAGCTACAATTTATAGAATTTCGACCCTAACGGTCTCCTAACGAATTAATGCCATGTTTCCTGCTGACATGTCTTCGATGATCCTAAAGATTCCACGCGTCCTTCTGGATAAGAATAAACATTCGAATTCAAAATCCCTTTGATTATCCGTCTTAAGCGCCAAATCTGATAACGTTCAAAGTGTAACGTTTTGAACCTTATCTCGAATAATAATTTAATTCAAATTTGAATTTCAAATGATACCTTATTTCGCATGATACTTTACTCATAAACCATCCATCAATTTCGATTTCAAATCTTCTTGGTTTCCAAAAAAATAAAATAACCAAACAACTCTCCAAGTATATTCAGTACCATTGTTTCAGCTCAATTTTGACTTAATCAAAATTTCCAGCCAACAAATTGCCACCGAGAAATATTCATTTCGAAACCAGAAATGCATATTTTTTGCAATATCCTCAAATTTTGACCTTCTGAACAATTCCTCAACCGCTTCAACTTATTATGATGTCATTATCAAAATGACTTCTGATCCTCAAACATCTAATCACCGTATAAGTATCTATAAATTTCATCATTAGCTATGATGAATAGTCTTAACTTTGGAACTCACAAAAACCGTTCATCAAGCAAAGGATCTCCTTACATGTGTCCCACTAAAATTTTAACTTCCCTCTTTTCGTTAAAAACGATTTAATTTCCCTTCATATAAATTTAACACCATTCATTTTATTTCTCTTCTGAATTTTTCCAAGAGATTAAGGAAAAAGTTTTTGGGGTCGACT